TTTGATTTGCGTAGGCGTATTGCCTTTCAAAAACAAATATTTAATGACAGCTCGATACTCGATTTTGTCCATTTTCACAAAAACACTCACATCAACTTACTCAAACGACTGTTACATAACAACTGCGAGTCCAAAATGGCTGAAACTTCGGTGAGTAACTGTCAACAGATGAACAACGAAATTCACTAGCTTTTATTTACAAGTGCTGCTATCTTCACGTTGAGGTCGGAAACTTTTCAGACCACCCTCGTAAAGTCTCATTCAAAATTGAGAGAAAAGCGACAGTATTTTTATTCGCAAGACTTTATTCGGAGTTGACTTCGTACGAGTGAATATTTCAATCGATTGAATTACACTTTGTTTCAAACATTTTTTTCTCGACGCATTTCAAGACGTAGGCATTAGTCTAATGAGAGAACTTGTTTTTGAGCAATTTCCAGAAATCAAGCTGTCTCATTACCCCATCGATTGTATTCTGAAGCGCTCAAGTCGTGTTGAAACAAACTATACATCAAATTCACTCGCCGAATCAACGTGGAGAGTTCACTCTGTGCAAATGAAAAGTCACTCGAGTGATTCGGTGGCCACTCTACTTTTCGAGTGAAATTCCATAACGAAAAAAATTGAAGAATTCAAGTTGTCGATGCGTTCATTTTCCCAGGCAGAAAGAGAATTACAATGACATCAGAATGACGTCAAAATCACGGAGAACATGACTGAAAAAATTCACTTTTCAATTACTATTCGATCATTTTCTCGTCATTTTGACGTCATCGTGATTTTCTGTTCTACTCGGCGTAAATATTCTGGCAAACGCGCATCTTCCCCCGCGATTCGACCTAATCCCATTGCCATTAATGTAATTTGTAATCATTACGAGTTATCGGCGGACTGATAGCCAAAGTTCGACACATGTATCGGAGTTGATCTTCGCCCTGTGTTGCGCACGAATCCGCTGACGGGGTTATCTCCAGAATTCCATTTTCTGGGACGCGCGATTCTCCCGAGATCTCTTTCACAATTGACGCAAAATCGCACCGCGCGTTCCACGTAATATTCTCTCCTGCTTTTGCAGAGGTGCGACATTTTCACGCGGCACTCGTGATGTAAGCGACAGCGCGCGACAGTCTCTCCCACGAGTCGCTTCGCAGCTGTACGCACCTTCAGACTTTTAATAGCGCGCGGAATTGCCGTGCACGTTTTCGCAGCACGCGTCTTCAGCACACATTCATTTGCTCGCGACCGTCTCGTTGAGCGGCCGTAAAACGTAAAACATACACATGTCGGCACGTTAGGTCGCGTGTCGCTCTTTATTCCCGGTTGAAATGATTTTTCAATCGCGTTAACTAACTTTAATACGTGCTTTAATACGAGAGAGAGAAAGAGAGAGAGAGAGAGAGAAAAGAGAGAAACTCGTACATTCGACCTCGTCCCCTTCCGCGGCGGCACGTGTTGTTGTTATCGAATCATAAATAAGGAGTCTATGATTTATTAGTGCTGGAAGCTAATGACGTGCTCGCCTGAATGTAATATGGCACGGACCGTATGATTAAACGACGGAGAGGAAGCCGTAATTCGCAGCGTGTGTGTGTTTCAACGCGGTAACGATGCGCTTGAACTTGCCGTAATCGTAACGTCGCCGCGCGACTTTCGTGCGTGGTTCTGCGTGGTTCTGCGGCGATGAGGAATATCGCGGGAATTAGCATGGAATCGACATTAGAAAGAACGTCAAGATAACGCGTATCTTAGGTTACATCTCGTCGAATGCTGCATGTAGCGCAGCGTGTCGACAATTTGCTCAATAAGAGAATTCAGGCGAACGATGTGCGCCGCATTTTACGCACTGAGGCAATTAAATCAGCATCAGTGTCACAGTTGAGTAAAAAAGAAAAAGATCGCGTATCGCATTCAAACGACGCTAAGCGCTCTGAATAGAAGTCGCGGGTCACCGTGTAGATCCGTGGTTGATCCATTGTATGCCGCATTCAACGGTGGAGCGAGATTCATTGGCACATAATTCCATAATGGTAACAGCGGTGCTTAGCTGGCTACTCATTAAATCATTGTTGAACTCGTTCTTTACGATAAGGAACGGAGGGAGATGACGGCCGCGTGCGCTGCATAAGAATTAATCGCAAATTGTAATTAGATTGGGCGCGTAGATGCAGCTGTTGTGCAGTTACGCGGTCTGCAAATTGGCTCCTGTGTCTAAAATCTATCGAAAGGAGAATATACTTAGAGCCTGAGCGTAGAAAGACACGAACTCATATTGTGTGTGTGTCGCGTAATCGTCGTACATTTCTGTCAGGTCCATTAAAGAGAATTACAGCCAGCAAGTTTTCCAATTTACTAAAGAAATCTTCGATCCAGGCGGTCGTACGGCGAGGTCAAGACTCGCGAATTAAAATTGTGATCGCCGTCTGAATTTATTTGAAATAAATCTTTCCAAATTGGCTACATGATGAAGAATCCAAGTTTCGATTTGTTGGGAAGAACGTTCAGTTAAATCTCGCACGTCTACACGGAGAAAATATCGTAGTGGAAATTACACTAAAATTATGTTTTATTTTACAGTGTTTTATGTAAAGCTAGACTAGACACTGTAGTAAAAATTTCTATAAAAGTAGTAAATTTAACAACCTATCCCGAGTGTACGATATGAAAAAAAAGAAATATTCAAGTAATTACAATAATAAATTGCAGCAAAATGTCAAGCGTGCGTTTTGAAACCAATATTAATTTCAATCATAATCTGTGATTACAGAATTTCATACTGATCTTTACCATAAGAATTTTGTGATCTTTAAAGATTTTTATAAATTTTTGCTTCAATATTTTCTCTGTGTGCAACTGCGTCACGATTGCCACAGTTTTTCCTTGTCGAGCTATGTTAAAGGAAAACGCAATTAGATAAAAAAGGGACAAGAACTTGAGACACGTTGTGCGAGAGGATACGCCAATGAAATGCGTTATCGTGAATGCAAAAGTGTGTGTCACAGCGATTGCGCGCATTTATCCTTTACTGGATGCGTTGATAAGGAAATATATGATTCGCCGTTGTCGCTCGAAACGGCGCAACTGCAAATTTATCTTTTATCTCGTGTAATCGCGGTGCAGTCGATGCAGTAATTTGATTAGACGGGATCGCGTCTTCGTGCATTTTCGCATCGCTTGCGCGATCTCGCTCCCACAGAATCACCTGTTCCTAATGAACCTACGTTGCCGTAAACCTATCGGCGCAGAATAACAACCATCGTTTCCGTCGTTCGAATCCGCATTTCAGATTGCCGATAATTTAACGCTCAACGCCGCAAGATTGGCGGAGGATGAATTCGCTCCTCTCTTCGGTAATCCACTGTCGCTTTTCGCGAGAACCTTACTCGTCATGCGTGCCAAATGATGTCGGCTGTATAATGCGCTCACGTAACACGTGTGAAACCGGTTATTCAAGCTTGCAGACTAATCACTCAAAAACAGAGAGGTGCGACATAAATGGGCAAGTTAACTACGCGCGCGCGGCTATTAAATTTTTAATTCGAATCTCGCAGTCGCGCGATATTGGAAATCAAACGCACCTGACAGATCTCTTCGCAGTCAAGGGCTGTCGAATCTATTGAGAGAAAAAATATGTCTAAGAAATAGTAAATATTTATACGATAGGGGTACTGATAACATATTTACTTATATTAATATATAAGCTATTTTTCACATGAGAAAATATACGTTCTGTTAAAGAAAGCCTTGAAAAAAGCCAAGCTGAACTTATCATGAAAGCAATTGTTTATTTCATTTAAATAAGAGAATTTAGATTGAAGTAAATATGTTATTGGTACTCACCAAATACTATTTCTTTTAAAAATTTTTAGAAATGGATAGAAACTTTACAATTCTTTTCATTACAAATATTTTTAAAATAAATATACTCTCTATATCGAATTAATTTTTAAATTTACTAAAAATTACATTCAGATATAATTTCATATTACATTTTACATAATATATTGTTTGCGGCAAGTTTTTATTATTTTTTCATTTTTTATTTTATGTGATAAATATGAGTAAAATCTAATCTATCATAAAGAACTCGACGTTGTTGAATTTCGTGTTTTTATATATTTGAAATTATTGGAAAATTTACGTACGTCAATTTATCGGGATATTACTGTTTTTATAGATATTTCTTCTCTTAGTGTAGTTGCGATTGCCACGTTAAAAATCGAGATAAACTTAAATATATAAGACGACAAACGTATTCGTTTTCTCTCTTTCTCTCTTTTTCTCTGTGTGTGTATGTGTGTCTTTCTCTCTCTCTTCCCTATGTGAACAAGTTATTGAGCGGAGATTGCGAACGAAGTCCCGAGTATGACGGCCAATGACGTCGTTTTTCAAAATATACAAGGGAGTGGAAGACTCACCTGTACCGTAAATTTTGCACTAACCTCAATCGCAAACACTTACGTAAGTGTATTCAACAAGTTGTTTGCCGAGAAGATAATTTTGGATCTATCAACCGAGCCGAAGTGGCATTGAGCGTCTATCTCGGGCGTCACGTGTTATCTTTCCACGAAACTTTGTCAAC